CCGGCGCCTTGCCCCCCCCGGCCTCAAGCCTACACTGCCACCCGCCCGGGGACCCAGCAAAGCCACAGTGATGTGGCTTGCTCAGCACAGCCAGCCCGGGAAGCCACGGGCAGGTGCTTACACACCAGCTGGGTGCTTCAATGCATTTTAGCAGGTGCTTTAGGACTGCAAAGTCCAAGAGACACAGAAAAGTTTAAAACCTCCTGCATGGCAGGAACACAGGCATGTTCATTTTCAGGGATGGTGCATGGGAAGCAGAGACCCAAGGGGCTCCCGAGCACCTTTTTCTCCTGGTACCATTTCTGGCAGACGCTATACAGACCGGCTATATGAAGATGGGGGGCCTGGTGAGGGCCCGAGCAGGGGTTATTCACTGCAGCCCCAGGGTTTTTGCCTGTCCTGCTTGTGCCTGCTTCCCCCTGGCCCCTTTCCCAGGGAGGGAGACTGAAAAGGGCCAGTGCAGCAGGCTCCGGCCGGGGAAACAAAGGGGCCCTTGTCCCAGGCAGCTGGGGCAAAGTGCAGAGCCGGCTTCCCAGGCTTGTTCCTTTCTCCTTCTCTTTCTCCCACTCTGTTTTTTTGTGGCTTTGGATTGGGTTTTTTTTGAGTTTTTTAAAGACTTTTATCCAGGAACAAAGTTCTGACCTCAAAAATCAGGCAGATCTGCCTGGCTCTTGCTTCACCAGGGTAGGGGAGAAGAAGGTAAAAAGGGGATTAAATTAATTTATTCCTCGGGATGGCTCATGTGTAAGTGAGCATCTGAGCTCTTCTGGGAGCACCAAGACAACCTGCATCAGGCAATCCATGGGCACCACACACTCACACGGGCAGAGCCATGGGACACTTTGCAGGAAAGCTGTCCCCTACGCACACAGTGGGGAACAGCCCTAAGGGATACCCAGGCAGGCTGCGATTTGGGAGAGATGGTGTTTAGCCCTGTCTTTAACACTGACTCTCTGGCCAGCCTCTGCCCCATCACTTCATCTCCCTCTCACCACCCTTTCCCCCCTCTCCATGTGAGGATAATAATTTTGACATCCTTTAGGTGAGCTCGTGGAAGGATAATGTGAGGAGGATGTAAAATCACCACTAAGATATGGATGGGGAGGTGTGAGATCCCATTGAGCAGCTCATCCCTGCTCTTGCAAGAAGCCACTCCAAGACCTGACACCCCCAACCCTGCTATAAATCAGGCTATATACATGACACATGGCTGGGTATCTATGCATTGAGGAGCTGGGCTCCCCCCAGCACATTGCTGAGGCCATGGCCATGGCGCTTGAAGAGCCACCACATCCCCTTCACAACCCGTGAAGCACTAAATGCCGGAGCCATGTGTTGTGCTGTGGGCTGGGGGGACAAAGGAGCAGCTGGCATGTCCAAGGTTGCTCCCAGGTGATGTGAATCTCCCCAGACCAGCTAATCTCTACAGGTTTCACCTGA